CGCCACACTGCAAACTATAAACAGAAGCAATACCACGTTTCAAGACATCTCCAGCTGTATTTTCCGACATACTCAACGCACCCAACATAATACTTGACTCTACCGGCGAAAAGTCCTGATCCTGATCCTCCAAAGCCGAAGCATCTTCTACTGCCAAAGAAGACATGTTTCTGACTCGTTTTTCACTTCTCATTTCTTCTTGTAAGCGGATGAGCTCAAGTAATTCACAACGTCCCAAAAAAAAAGATTCCTTATCCCCAACAAAAAAATCAAGCAACTTTCCGATGGACCAGGTGAGAGGTGAAGTTAGACACATAACGAACAGTACTCCATATGTCAGTGCAGCACTAATTTGTAATGCAAAGCGAACAAAAAGTGCCTGTGGTATGATCTCAGCAAACACCAAGATGATTCCAACTGAGACAAATATCGCTGCCACTGAATTTAAAAACGTGTCAAACACCAAGGGCATCATTTCCACCACCAAATCCTCAACAAGTAAAAGAGTAACCAATAGCCAGTTAGATTTGTGTAATAGCATCATCACTCGACGGGCCCTACGTGCATCTTTGGTATTGCCAACTTGAATAAGGGCATTTAGGCGTTTCTTATCGAGTGAAAACAAGCAAAGCAAAAGGCCCGAGGCGAGACCTCCGATAATGGTCAGCACGACGATTATGCCACCAAGTACCTCCCCAGAAACGTCGATATGAAGTCCGAAGAATGTAGAATTCGTCATTCTAGTCGGCCTGTGCGAACCAAATTCAAAAATGCGGAAGAAAAACAAAAAAAAAAGGAGTCATACAAGCTCCAGTAAAATCAGTATCATTATTATTACTAATAATACCAATAACAGACCCAGGCTTCTAACGAGAAGAGAAAAAATTTTTTCAACCCCATTTATTGTACAAAAAACCCCAACGCACCTTTCATCATTGCATCATGATGAACCAATAATGAAAGCTTTAGACTATCAACCAGAACTTCCCAGTTTACATCTTTCCTCCCATATTATTCTTTTTTGTTTTTGTTTTTGCTCTAAGACGGTCAAAAACAAAGTTTCTGTGTAATGTTTCAAGATTACCAGTGTAGAAAACTTTATCTAGGGAATGTCGTCGATATCGTTACGATGAAAAAGTCGTGAGCGGTATTGCCATTACGCCAGAAGAGGTTTTTCCTTGGGAATTCGCAACGCCTTCTTTAAATGAGGTTCATTTATTGATACCTTTATTTCTAACCTTCACACGTGGGGAAAGCTCTACAAGAATGGGAGGCCATAACTCAGGCGTTTGACCCATTTTACCACTTTCACTTTTCTCCCCCAAGTTGCCCATCATGTCATCATTGCCCACCACCGCCTGCGTGGCCGCGTCGCACATCGCTCGAGATCCCCGCTGGAGCGTCGGCGACTCATTTTTCGGTGGAAATGCCAAAAGGCCTGATTCCGCCTTTAATAGTCTTGCTGTTAAGAATTCAGTTTCAAAGCTGTGGTCCTGCTTCAGGGTCTCCAATGCATCGCGGTACTCGTTACACTCCTTTTTCAGAAGCCCAATCTCGCGCGTTAAGGTCATCACACGTGAGGAACCCTCAGCAAAATCGAAATTATCAGAGGCTCTCGCATTATTGTGTATGGTGGCATTAGATGGATTGCAAATGCCATTATCAATTGTCCCCGTTTGGTTCATACCAGCAGAAAGTACTGCGCACTCTTGTTTGAGAGTAACTACAAGACTATCCGCTTCTCTCAGAGCCGATCTAAGTTGCCTTATCTCTTCTTCAGACTTCACCACTAAGTTCTCCTGCTGGGAACACCTCAGCAATTTTTCCTCAAGTAGAGCAACACGTTCCTCAAAGGGCTTTAAAAATAGAATTTCGCCTTCTAATGCTTTTATCTTTTCCTCGTACAGCTCCTTCCCATGTCTTGTCTCATCCCTCACCTGCGTTAATTTGCCTCTGAGGTTATCTATTTCCTTCACTGCACTAAAATATGCTGCATCACGGCTCTCTGCATTTTCCAGCAAAAAAATATTCATCCTTGTCGTAACCGCCAACGCATCCTCCAGGGATTTAATCCGCGACTCATCGTTCTTTTCCACAGATTCCATTTTGGCCTTTGGTGAGAGTTCCTTTTCCGTGGAAATTGCAAGTGGCTTGCGCAGTGTCATTATTTCCTCTTCGTATCGGGCATTCTTCTCCACAGCCGAAACGGACTCCAAATGATGGGCTTTCTCCACCTCACGAAGCTTAACCATCATATCTTGGAAAGCTCTAATTTCGTCGTGAAGAAGAGAAATTTTTTGCTCATATGTGTTCTTTAAATCGTCCATCTCTTTCTCCATTTCAGCTAATGTTAGAGAAAAATGGTCTCGCTCCAAAAAAATCCTTTCTTGTGTAAATTCAAAAGACTCCAAATCAGTGGCATTTATTCTTGCTTCAGCTATCGCTCCAACCTCTTTCGGACAAACTGCATCAACCCCCATCTCTCCATACTTCGATTCGGGATCATCCAGTATTGTGCACGTCGAAAATTCACAAGTTGAATTCCCAACTTTCGAAAAAGATGTTGCTGTGTGTCCGTCTTTCGGTGCCATTATTACACTCTCACCTCTTGAAGAGGTCTTTTCATTTACAAACGATAGTTCTGGCACCGTTGCATCAGTTGAGAGTCCCAACAGACTTTTTTGGTGTACTGTGATATTCGAGAGCGTATTTAAGCACGATGCCAAACCCACAAGCCCCATTTCCAATCGAAAAAAAAAATTATTTTTGGAAAGGTCACCGGATGCATGTTTTTTCAGATCTTTTGACTGACCGTTATTATGCTCATTTTTACCATTGTCATCTCCACCCACCAAAAAGGAATTGTAAATGCAATCAAATTCCTTTCGGGAAATCGAAGCATTCTCTTGCCTCCAACCCAGTTGCGGTGCCGCATCCTCCATTTTTATATATAATTGCTGCAGTTACTGATTGAGTATAGACAGAAAAAAAAAAAAAGAGGAAAAAAGATAAAGCCCATCCATCACGGGTCACAGTGGATGACACGTCAGGCATCAGTTAACCTTGTGAGATTTTCCCTCGATAAAATAAACAATGTTATCAGCTAGTTCCTTCAGAAAACATTCATTTCGGCCTTCAAAGCCATCCCTTAAAAAATATAGATTGCGTCGTACGCCACAGTCCATGCCAAGATGTATGTCATAGCACCTGTAACAAGGTTGCCAAGTGAAAAAAACTGTTTTTTCCCGGATGGAAAATACCGCTCAGGTGTGCCTTCACAACCAACATTCAGTATTATTAAGGAGCTTATTATTGCACAAAAAAAGAAAAACACCGCACCGGCGATACCTGTCAAGCCCATCACTCCAGCACCAACACCAGCTATGAGAGCGCTCATTGTTCTTATCTGCGATACGCTTCTCATGTTTTCTCCAAGATCATCATCCACATAAATAGTCTTCCCTAGGCTCATATTCGCTCAATAATTATCCGTCCTACCTCGCCATGAAGTCAAAAAAAAGGGGACAAAAAATTAAAATTCCGCAAAAAAAAAAAAAAGAAAAGAAAAAAAATGTGCAAAACTATTTAGATAAGAATGTAGAAACCAAGAAATATTTCGTGACCTCGTTTTCCTTTCCAAGAGAATTCACACTCACTAGTTCAGTAAACCAGAATAACCACATGTTCGCCCATCTTCCGCCAAAATGATGAAATAAAAGTCCACTACTGACCTCCACGAGTGTTGCTATGTTCCAATTGAAGCTGTAGGATCACCTCTCTCTCCCGCTGCTTTTCAAAGTAATTGATCCAACTAGAAGGACATGCCTTACCCAGTGCCGTTTTTTGAGCAGAACACTCTTTTTCCGGGTCCTCCGGTAAAGTATCAAGACATTTGTGATATGCGTCCCGTGACTCGTAGCAAAGCTCACGCTTTTTTGCGCTCTGCATAAAATATATATATATATATATATATATATATATATATTTATATATATATAATATTTAGAGCGGTAAAAAGAAAGGACCGAATTGTGCTTTCTATGATTCTTTAGATACTCCTTCATGATGCAAAGCCAAAAAATTAAAAAACCAAAAAAAAAAGATGATGTGGTGAGAATTATTAGAATTATCATTACGTTGAGACGTAATAAAAAAAAAAAAAAAAAAAAAAAAGAAACATATTCGAGCAATTAAAAAAGAAAGCTGTATATGAATCTCAAAAAGCGCTGCTCCAAAAAGCCGTTGAATTATGCAAACAACTGGAACTTACTCGATAGAAAAATAATAAAAACGGAAAAATGCAGGTTTTGGATAAAGTTCAAGAAAGCAGTATAAAAATTTCCTTGTAATAATTTATCCGTTCCTTTTCCGCGTGTCAAACCCTCAAAGAAATTTTTTACGGTATCGGATAGCATTTTTTCTTGGATGATCCAAAAAAAATCGTATTTGAACCCATTTGAATAGGCCGACAGCAAAAAATATTAAAAATATATATCGTCCTTTTCTTTTCCATACGGCTTTTGCTCCGTTCTTATCCTGAGGGCGCTCAAGCACAAAAGTATCCACGCCAAAATCCTTTAAAATCCTAAAAATCAGGCGACCATTATTGTGCCTCAAGAAGACCCACCCATCCTCACTCAAGGATTTCGCACCCACCCATCCTACAACTTGGGAAAAAACAAATTGTATTGAAAAATTTTCAATAACAAGTTTTTTTATTTTTATGGAGGCGACGCAGTATCTCGTAGAGTCATGGAAACAAGTCAGATTAATGCCTTCATCTTCCAAAGTGTGTAAAGAAGTCCAAACCCCGTCCAACGTCTCCGGAAGAATATCGGAAAATAAGCTGGAAAAACTAAGACACGATATGTATATCACTGTCACAGCAGCAAAATACGACAAAATATGTCTTGATCGATCCATTCTTACAAAATCCTTCTCCCCCCTATTTAATGATTTCATTTGCATTAAGACGATCCTTATCCATAATTAAATACGCACAAAATAAACAAAGATACCAAGAGCAAAATAAAAAAGAAAAATACATATATATATAATTTAAAAAATATATATATTGCATTCAAATTAATAACTAAATATCATCAAGAATTCATATTATATATGAATGTATTTTATATACGAAGCCATAAGCCTCTGGTCAAACAAGGATCCCATTCACGGCTTTGATTGTCCCAAAACATGAAGATAGTATGCATGGTTTTCATGTGAGGAATTCAAAAATGCAAACCCTCTCATTCCCTTGAAGCGTTTTTCCGCATTTTCACGACCAAGTTTGATAGCTGCATTCGCAAATTCCCTAATAGTTGCCGCCTCAGCCTCAGAAAGAGGAGCGGAAACTTCCTTAACTTCACACTTTTGACGCTTAATGATCAAATCGACCTGAGTTCTTTTCCGGCGCAAAGCCTCGTGATCACAAAGCCCCAATAGAGAAGGTGTTTTCGCCATTAATGACGCAAGTTCCAGGGGATCTGATAGTGGAGGGGTTGAATCCATACAGTTGTCAAGCCAAAATCCCACCCTTCCATCATCGACATCTTCCAATATTGAATTTAATGTGGGTGAGTGAAGCAATGCCAAAGGTATTGGCAAGGGCGCTGCCAAACCATTGTCATTGCCACTCTCCAAAATAATAGCATTATTCCATAGAGTTGTGTGCAGAACAATGTGTGTAACAACCAAAGGATATGAAAGATCAAGAGGGCATTGTATTGTATGATC